TGACCCCCCTTTTTCTTTTTAACTAACCACATTTGGACTAGGAAAATAAGCGTGAGTATTTTCAACCTTATTCGGGTTACATTGTTGTTTATTTGTGACCTAAGTTCTTCTTTTACATTCACCCTACACTCTTTTACACACAGCTTCTAGTTGCGAATCCATTCCCAATTGCTTCTATTCTACTCAGGTAGGTTTTCACTACTGCGGCTGCGGATCGACTATATGTATATTCAAACAGGTTCCGTGCTCGAATCCTCGTCTGTAGCCTGACTTTCTTGTCGTACCCAAAAGCATGGCCCCCAAGCGGTCCTGATTCTCCCCGCCCCTTTATTCGCCTCTACTAACTTGAGATCTGGTTTGCCATGAAGCTGGTGCTTCTCCTACATGGAATTAATTCTGTATACTTAAGATTTCCTGTCCGTCTTGTTCCTTTCCCTATACATTCTTTTGTGAGCATCCCTGATCGACAGGTGAATTCGGTAGAGGTATCTGCTTTCTTTATGCAATTTATTTAAATCATCGTTTGTAATATAATCTATTGTCAACAAGTTTAATCCCAGCCCCACTTTTCCATCCAACCTGGCTCCGCCCTGGGAAACTCTCTTGGAATAAGCCATACTACCTTAAGTAGTGTGAAACTATCCGGAAAGATCGTTAGTGCTAAATTATTTGTCAATATACTAGGGCCACCGATTCATATGTTTTTATCACAATCTATCCATCTCTTTGAGGCTAGCTTTAACAAATAGTGTATAAACAAATCTGTTGTAGAGAATAACTGGCGTACCGATTCCGCAAGTTAGTGGTCAACGAAACTAATAACGCTCTTGCACAGATATAGTGGAAGCGTGTTGGCAGGAGAAAATTTTTTCCTGTTCTATAATAACAGGCCTATACGACGCCTACAAAATGCTGAGGTCGTCCATTAAGACGATAGGATAGTAAAAATTATTCATTTAACTAATCAGATTTATCCGGGGCATGGCGTTTGCTGATCCGCTAAAGTGGATATACACAGAATGGGCATACACACTTACCAGCATTCAAAAGTGTTTTAGAGCCAATCGTCAATCGATTTATTGGCTGAATTTAGGATTTTTTAAGTACCTTACTAAGAGTATGAGAATAATTTAATTGACGATTAAGCAAGTCAAACTTTTAATGAGAGAATGTAAATAATAAAAATATTATTTATTTGGGGCTGAAATCGGCTATCACGCCCTGTGCATGCTGAATGTTCAAGTATAATATTAGCTCATCTGTTACGTATGAGGGGATGTACAGGAGAATTTTGCTTCGCATTATATGATCGATTTGTAGAATCAATTTACACTATTCGCCTCCTTCATGGGATGAGAAAAGTGGGAAGTTTGGTGGTAAGCAAGGCCAAGACGCCGGATCAAGTTTGTCTGGGCCAACTTGATTGAAATTGCCCTAGTATCTGCTAGGGCCCAAATGGGAGGGAGCAGGCAAGTTAAAACAATCAAAAGGACATACATAAATGCATACATGAGTATATACATAAAACAGACATAAATATAAAAATAGAGCAAATTAGATATAGACAGATGAGAGGTGTGGGTATATCCAAATGAGCATCGAAGTACGCGGATAAAGGCAGACACGTGAATAGACAAAAGGAGAAAGACAAATGGATGAGCACGTATATATGCACATGCTTATGTATGTGCTTGCCTACATTCGTGCGTGAATATAAATATATATATATATGCGTATGTGTGCCAAAAATTGAACCCAGTAGGAAGTAGATATTCAAATTCCGAGCATGTTTCCTCACCACGCCTGCGCATTGCGTTAAGTAAGAAAGTAGGATAGTATAGTTTGTAAAAAATGTTAGATCAAACGGGAAAGCTGAAGGATTACCTTTAAGCATTTTAACGGTAGAGTCGTGCTCAATTCATGGAGTGAAATTGATTAACGTGAATGAAAAGTGGGAAGATTTGTTGAGGAAATGGATTTACGGGGTTGGCGTAGGTAACCTATTAGTCTAGAAATTTAGCAAGAAGCAAACAAACACTTTATTTTGATGTGATATGAGGAAAAGGGTCAGTTTAGCGCGTGTTTAGGTCTACGAATACGTTCAGTGAATACACAAAAAATCTATGAACGTGGGCCAATTAAGAGCGCTTTGATGATAGTTGACCCTGTTTTCGGGTAATTTTGTGAGAGAGGCGTTGTAGAAAGCCACCTCCCCACCCCCCCCTGCCGCCTTCAAATCCATCCCGACTCCTATTACCAGTGGATCCACTGTCACTTTTATCTCTACTGACACCAGCATACTGACCCGATCCAGTTAACCTTCGAGATGGCCTCTTATCCTTTTCAGCATCCATACCAGCAGCGCTAATGTTATCAGAAGTTGAACCGGACTGAGGACTGCCAGTTGACTCAATGCCGATTAGAGAAGGTGAACTGTTAGAGACAGAAGCCATAGGGTTCGGATCATTCAGCCAATGTTGATGCAAATTAAAGGCGGCAGGTGGCCTGGTTTCTGAAATTGTTTGCCTATAGTGAGATGAGAATGTCTTCGATCTGAGATTACCACCATCAACCCTGGTACTATCACTAGTAACAGTTTGTCTGAGCGTATGCGGCTCGATGCTTAGTGACCAGCCCGTTCGTGTAGGACCTTCGGTTATGCTACATGTGCCACGAGGCTGATTCGTCGATCGGGCGGGGTGAAAAAACAGAACGGCAGACTGGAATGCCTCTCTCCGATGTCGCAGTGCCAATACCCCTTCCTTTTTTTTTGTCTGCTTGTTTGTTGGCTCACTTTCATCCATTTCTGTTGCTTCCTCCGTCTCAGTCTCACTACGTATGGCTCGAGTTCGAAAACGTTTCTTAATGCGAAGCCGGCCAGGACGATGTCTCTGCACTCGGCCAAGTCGAAGAACGTCGTCGAGGCCATCCCTCGCACTTGACAGTAAACTGGCAGCTCGAGTAGAAAGACCTATCTGCAGTGCCTTCCGTGTACCAGAAGCTTGCTTTGATAGCTGACTACGAGACAAAGTGTGTGAGGGGATAGAATTTGTGTCCTTACGGCGTTCGGCGAGATCACCTCTCATATGAGTGGGCGAGCGTGCAAGAGAGCCATCCGATGTGACAATTACTAGTGAGCTAGACGCCGAAGGCATTTTGATTTCGGATAATTTAATCTCTTTGGTTGCCGATGGCCCAGGCGTGCAGGAACTCTTCGCAGAAATCGGAGCTGAGACAGGAGAATGGGAAGAAGAGAGCGATGAGGAAGAGAGAGATAATGAAAGGCCCTCCGATACCCCATGCTGTACAATATCAGCCTGCGCAATCATCATTCGATTACGCTGGAAATCCGCCTTTTGAGAAGGGCTTGAGTGAGGTGATTGGGGCGAAAAAGTTTGGTAGGCGGGAACGGTGGAGATAGCATGAGGCTCGATGGAGTGAATTGAGAGTACTGAGGAGCGCTGAGCAGAGGATGAATAGCAAAGTGAAGAGGATAAAGAGGCGGAGAAACTAGTCAGCTGAAGAGGGCATGGGAGACAGGTTGCACAGGGCAATCGAGCGAGAGGACCTTGGCCTGCGTCATGAGTCTGGGTCAGACATATGGAATGCTTTGGATGTTGCTGTTGAAGATGATGATGGTCTGGCTCAAATGAGGCATTTGTGAATGAACCTGGGGCCAGGGCCGAGGGACCGAATGTCGTATTGGGCACAGTGAATGAGCGTGGCAGGGCAGCAGCGGAGAGGCCATTGGATAGGTAGGTCCTGGAGTTTCGCGTGGCTGGCGGTGAATGGTCAAGATTGCTGTCTAGATAGGCTATTTATATAAACATGCGTACAAATACATATATATGTATATAGGCATAATAAATTGATGAATCGACAATCAAGTGTGTGAATGAAAGGGTAGATAGAGGGAGAAGAAAGAAATGATATAAAAAGATGGAGACAGAATTAAAGGTAGGTTGTGAGTAGGAGGAAATAAGGATAGGTACTTTTAATGTGCTCGCAAATTTGCAAGGTCATTTCATTGGATTACTTCTGTGAATTTGTTAACAGGCATGCTAGTAGCTGGATTTGGAATAGTAACTGATGTGAAAACTAAAAGTCTGCTTCTTCCAAATGGCGCTCGTAGAACTATCGATTCATGTTGGCCAGAGTAGATTGTCAGATAATATTCGAATTTCCTAAAGCAAATGCGTTTACATGAAAATATGAAAAGCAAGTAGCAGGATAGATAATTATACATACATACATAAGAGCATAAAATCAACCAGCTGGTATAACACAATGTGTAATCCTTACGGTATGAGGATACCATAGATGAAGACCTTAAAGAGGTTCAGCTAATAATTCCTGACAAAGCAAGGGACTATAGTTGCGAAATGATCAGAATAAAAATAAATTTATTTAGATCTGAAGACGAAGATGTTGTAGCCCCTAGACATTAATTTATTTCTTATTCACTATGATATTCTGAATTTATAGTGAGGTATAGAAAAGAATCAGTCAAGTCCTAATTATAGTTTAGTTTCATTTTGATTCATTGTGAAAATTCCTTATTGATATGGCTACTACCTAACACCTTATAGGAAAAATAGAATCATAAATCGTGATACGAATTTCAATTTTGGAGGAATTATCGAATTGGTCTTATTGGTAACTGAATGAGTGGCGCGGAGTGGAGATTGTGCGAAAAAGTCCTCGGCCCACCGTCCTTACCTCGATAAATTTCCGCTAAGCTTTCGTATGTCATGTGACAGATATTGTCAGAGCCAGAAACCATACTTTACGAAAAACGCACCAAATACAATAAGCAAATAAGCTAATGGTGGCCCGGTGGAATCCCAGCCACTTACTTTATCTAACTTGGTTTGCTATTTTATGCCCAACAAATATATATTTATAGATGGGGTAGATAGATGCATGAACTCCATAATATTAGACTTGAATTTGAAACCCCCGTAGCCCACAAAACGCCGCGCCCGTGTCCTGTATTGGCCATGCGTTCAGCTAGCTCGCACTTTTGGACCCATAGACCATTACATGTGTTTTTGTATTAGATAAACTCTTATCTAGGAGTTCTTCCCCATATAAGCAGAATGAAACGTTAATAAACAGCTGTCTCTACATCTACTCCCTTTTCATTCACCAGCCTCCTCC